TAAAAAAAAATACGAAGAGTTGCTGATTTGAGATACAACAAACATTAAGCTAGTTAACAAACAATATTTTTTCATAGAAATCATAATGTTTATAATCTTTAATAAGTTTATTAGAATGCTGTTCTCTAAAATTAATACTAAGTCATGCAATCACTTACCTTATTTAATAATAATGACTATGACTTACAACTGTTGAAACACTATTCTATTATTTTCTTGAGCATTTTTTATTTTACATTAAAACAATATTGAACATACGAGGCAATGCTTTCTTAAAATTGTACACTATTGCATCAGAAACTTGTGAAAATAATCACCAATAATTATACATAATTGTACATACGAACATTCAATTATGCTGTACATCTATTAATAAGATTCATGGAATGCTATAAGGAAAATTATAGTGACATAGGTACATCAAGAAAAAAATTTTATTACTGCTTGTTTATCTCTGTTACACTTTGAAATATTCATTTATTGTTTCACTCTTATTACAAACTTTAAATATCATTAAAAATTACATTACATCTAGGCAACAAAAGATATGTTTTGTAATCATAAACATCATTTAAAATAGCGCTAAATGTCCATAGAAGTAATATTATAAAATTACATTTTTACTAATGTCACGATTTGTTTTAAACTAACAAATAATGTTTGTGTGATTAGTATTGACAATTCTGGTTAAAATATTTTTTTATTATTTTCCTAATCTTGCAATAAAACGAGGAGTAAGGTATCTGTGTTGAATTATAATATTTCTATTTATTTTGTTATTTGACCACTTTTTTATTTAACATGGAAAAAACTATTATTGACATGGTATTTGTGATCTAAGGTTTCTCCACTGTTATCAAGTTTATGGGTTTCAAATGCAAAAATTAATGATAATAGAACTGATAAAATGTCACAATCGATTTATTAATCTGTATATTAACGTACTAAAATTATAATCATATAAAACTTGTTTACGAGACGTTTTTCTTACGTTTGAATTAAAATAAGCTTAATATACATGTTGTAGTACAATTCATCGTAATCATCAATCGAAAGTTGGCTTTTTACTTCTTTTTTTTTAACGTTTCAAATAATCATTTTTTTTTTAAGTACATATCACATACGTTCTTTTAAATCTCAGATCAACAAAGTTTGACGCACAAACTATGTTATAATAATAAACATAAATAATCAATTTCATCAATCAGTTTTCAGATTTTTTGTAGCATCTGTAAGCTTTTAATGTTAGAAATTTGGGATTTTTTAATTATTTTTATTTATCATACAATTAAAATTTAAAAATCTTTTCAAAAATTCCTTGTCTGTGAACTGTGTACTCCAAAATTTTTATTGTAAAATTTTTCCTTGAATTGTGTATAAAACATGAAAATAAATTTTTACATTTCAAAAACATCATTGTGCTTACATCCAAATTTGATTGAGTATTTTTAAAATTAAATACTTAATAAATAAAACAAGCAGTTTTCTCAAGAATGAGCTTCTTAAAAGTAGTCTTACAATTTTAATTTAATTTGTTACTAGATTATTTTTTGGCTTTAAATTAATAACGTCATTTAATTCCACTCTCTTGGTGCTTTGTTTATTTATCCACGTAAATTTTTTCCAAAGAAACTTATAAATTACGTGTTGCCGTATTTTACTACGAGAAGCAAGCATAATTAACCACAAAATTGGTTGCATTAACCTACACATTTTTAGCACAACAAGTTTATTAAAACAAGCTAACACTGTACCAAAAAACCAAGGAGCCCCCATAAAAACATAGAGCCTCAAGAATAAAAAGTATTGTTTTCGAAGTAAGCTCTCTTGATTTTTTATGGCCAATTTCGTACTTTGCTGTATTTTAACAATACTGTAGGTGGTAAAAACAAATAACAAATTATTGAAAAAAAGAGTGTGTGCAGGTACGAGAAAGAAGTACATATTAACTACTGGCCTAGGACCCTTAGAAGCTTCTATGAAGTTGACCTTCATGAAGAAGTCATTTGGTACTAAAGGAACAAACTCAAAAATTGCAGCTGTCAGAGTTGGTATCAAAGCGCCACACCAAACGAACAGGCTATAGATGATAAGCTTTTGATTTTCATCTTCTCGACGAACAATATTAAAAATCCAACTGAGGCGCGTAATCACCAAAGTCATGTCGAAACAAATGACGTTCAGCCAAAATACAGTGGCATTGGTAAAGTATTGCAAGCTTAGCCAAAACAACCGAGTCACCAAATTTCCATAGCAACACTTGTACATGTGACAGTAGCCCAGTAAAGTGAGAATTCCACCAAGCAAAAGAAGGCATATATTGTGTCGTAAAACAAGGCGGTTGTAAAGATTTTTGTTCTTGTCAGATAATGCACAATAGATTATTACTACTAAGATGCACATAAAAAAATGAATTATGTTTATGTACATATATGTTTGGGCACCCCAAAACATCACTCCTTTTAAATAGGTAATAGAATTAATTATTGATTCAGTTGAAATATTTGAATCTCTCGAATAATCATCAAAGACATTCATTCTTAATGACAGTGTACTCAAAAGTGCTTAGAGCTGCAAGAAATTTGAATAGAAAATCCAAAATTTTGTTGTTGAAATTCGATGTAATGTAAAACTTGCAGTTCAGTTGTCATTTTATTTAGTAAAAATTGTTACACTTAACACATCACTTCACCTTTATTCAGAATAAAATATTCCATGACTGAATTTGAAATAAGCCAGATTTTTTGATACATGTTTTTGTACAGTATCACTCTTAAGCAACCATCAAGCAACAAATAATAAATACAGTGAGTACGAGAAGAAGTGTTTCCCTACCAACTCGAAGCAGAATACTGTGTATTTACAAGCTGTGTATAAAAAATATCATCACTGCAATTATTCTTAGAATCTTGGAGTGACTCATAAGTAACTTGGGATTTCTCTACACACGTCTATTGCAACTGCATTAGCTTGCAAGCATTCTATTCATAAGACAAAACAGGTAGTAGAAACGCTTATTGTGCAAATATGTTAACGGTTTAGCACATAAATTTAGTACATTAGTTATTCCACCAAAACGGGTATTACTCCTATCATGCATTTTTTTTGTACAAATCTTTTTTTCAAACATTTTTTTACATAATATGAAAAAATTTGGCAAAGAAAAAAATTTATGAATTTTTAAAAATTTTACACCTGCAAACTCTATAACACAGTGTGAATAGTCACCTGTGCATGCATCGCGAGTGTCGAGCTAGAGTTATTTGGCTGCACTGGTGCTCCGTTACGATTTATGTGATATTAGGGTATAAGTATTACTTCTCCAGGCAACAAATCCTCTAACACATCGTGCAGTAAAAGAAAAACTTTTTGTAATTGTTTCTATTGATCAGAAATAATAATGATAATTGGAACCGAATAAACAGAATTATTGCTTTATCTTCAAAACTCTCTAATTTTGTTGCACTCAAACATTGGAACATTTCTTTAGAAATTACATTAAATTATGACTAATATACTTCTTTGAAATTCAAATAAGTGTATTATTTTAATAACTAGGAATTTTCACCAAAAAATTGCAATAAAATTTTGCGAGCTATCGCTAACTTCGCAAAATCTGAATAACCATCTTCTTGAAAATTTTTTTTTGTGGATTGTATTTTTTGTTGAGACAATCTATTTAGAAAATTTAATTTTTTTATCAGATGAACAATTAGTTCAGTATAGTTTCCACCTACATATTTAATTTCTTGAAATATACCTTAATACACCCTTTTTTCATGATTTCTCAGAGATTCTAAACAAAAGAACCGATTTGAAACAATAGTATATTACGTACGAGTTAGCAAAGGCTTCGATTTACGAACCAAGAGGTTTTGCGGCACGAGCTGAAAGCGAGGGCCGTAACGAGGTTCGTAAAGAAGCCTTTTCGAACGAGTTTCGTACACTATTTTTCCGCCTGAGAACCCAACATCAAGCGGCGAAGGTGCTATTTTGAGGTTAGAAGGCGTAATAATCTCTTAATGCAATTACAAAAACTAACTGCTTGTATACATATATACTTACTTACACGCACGAACACTCATAGACTGAATAGCAGGTGGAAGATCGAATGTTTGAGCTTTATAGAGTGTTTTGAGTCTGCTGAGATGTATGAGATATTGAATTGCGTAACTATTTTGAATAAGTACGAAGCAGTTAGATTTTAGAGTTGCAGTTATGGTTATTAGAACGCAAGGTGGCTCAGTCAGCTAGGTCGTGGGTTGACACGACGGAGACCGAGGTTCGATTCCTGGCCAGTGTGACTTTGTCAAGCTACTCCCTCTGTGAATTTCCGAAAAAAATCAGTTAAAAGAACAAACCTTTAGCTTAACTATCTTAAAATTTTGAGCGATTAGTGCACTGAAAGAAATTTTTTTATAAATTTTATAGTAAATACCCATAAAAATTACCGTGCAGAACGGTAAACGTGGGACTAGGTCATCACTCCGGACTTTTTACCTAACCTTAACAATTTTTACCGTTAAGCCCAGTGTAAATCATTGGACGCCCAACAAAAATTCCCCTCGCAACTCACGAGCGAATGTTCATTGTAGGGAAAATAGAGACCGCAGTCGAATTGCATTGTATTTGAAGCAATAAAATCATTATAGTATTATACATTCTTTATCATAGTATATACATTCTTTAAAAATATTATGTACATTGGACAGTCCGCTTGCAATGTCGAATCAGCTTAGCTTACAAATCTTTAAATAAATTTAATTGATACATTTCAATTACTGTAAAGAAATATTTATTTTAAATGGTACAACGTCTAACCGGTTACATTAATTTAAAAAAAAAAATAATAATAATAAGTACAGTGATAGCGTACTACAGTTAAGTAGTTAAAAAAAACATTTCTTGTCTCATCTGGTACTGACAACAAATTCGTTAACTGTGGTCTCTGTTTTACCTACAGTGAACTTAGGCTTGTGAGTCGTGAGGGGAATTTTTGTTGGGCGCCCGATGATTTGTACTGGGCATACCGGTAAAAATTGTTAAGGTTAGGTACAAATTCCGGAGCGACAACCTAGTTCCACGTTTACCGTTCCGCACGGTAATTTTTATGGGCATTTACGATAAAATTTATAAAAAATTTCTCTGAGTGAGGAATATAAAAAAAAGCACCACTGAACTTAGCGTGATTTTAACTTTTGAATTCGCTGTGAGGATGAAGACCAGCAGCGCTCCAGCTGACTTTTCCCAAGATCTGAACGTATTGAGAGCCAATTGTTGTGTCGTGATACATACGGACTTGGTGACATAAATATTTACTGCAACTAATTAAGAGCTCGTGGCACTCTGCACTTTTAATATATGAAAGTTAGTGCAATAATTTATTCATAAAAAATTTAATAATTGGCTGAAAGTAACTCAAGTATCTCTTTCCTTTAGTTACAAAAAGCAAAGTGTACACTGTGTATAGTCGTCGCCGTCGTCGGCACAGCGGCTGCACCCGATCGGAAAGCTTAGCGAGGGTCTAGCTTGTGCCTACCTAGGCAGCCTAGCTAGCCTAGCTAGGTCCCAGCGAGGCAAAAGTATAGAGGCAGATGAGGTGATGTAACGCGGCTTAGCTTGGCCCTACCTAGGCTACCTCTCTAGAGTATTTTCTGCATACCCCCATCGAAAGTGCTTTAAGTATAATATGTTCTGCTCTGCTCCTTAACCTCTCTCACTAGGTGTGCGTAATATACTGTACTTCAAGAAATGAATTCTTAACTAGGACATTAAAAAATAGTATAATGTTTTACAACAATGGTAACTTTTTTATTAAAAAAATAAATTATTTTTACAATGTAAAAAAACATAGTAGAGAAAAAATAGTATCAATTTAATAAAAATGTAAGAATATTTTAAATGTTTTAGTCCTCAACATTTCGATTTTGACCCTCTTTCACATTGTACCTTCCAGTATGGTGTAGAAATGTGTTTCTTTAAAGAGCTTTTTCCCTGGCTTGGGCCTTTGCACTGTGTATAGTTTAATAACATCTTTATGTATCAATCTTTTCATAATTATGGTCAAATTGTGGAGTAAATCTGTATTAAAATTAATGATGGAGAACCGGTGATTTTTTTGAAATTAAATAAAATGATAACTGTATAAGTCAACATAATAAAAATAACTAAATATTTTAGTAATCGAGTCATCGGACGTAAAATCTTCTTGTGTATCATCACACTTTTCTCGATAGTCTGAGAATTAATCAACAGTTCGGAAAAAATTTTTTTTTTCACACAACTTTTATCGTCAACAGCATCGTAATTTGCACAAATATTGGAGCCATGTATTTCTTTTTCTTCCTCCTTTGCACGTCTTAAAGCACGATATCTCTTGACCCTTTCCTTACTTAATGACTACGATCGTTTTACTGTCTCACTCAATTTTAAAAACTATTCAATAAAAATGCAGAGAACCCTTAACATGTCAGTTAATTATCTTACACACACTGCTCCGAAATGGCTATCATTCGCAACAATTGTATATATTTTAGCTACAGTATAAGAAAGAGTGAGATGGAAAATACCTAGCTAGGCTTCCTACCTAGTTCCTACCAATTCTACTGTAACAAAACCTACCTTGGACCTATCGAGGCAGCCTACCTAGGCCTCCTCTAAATACGGAGGTAGCCTAGTTAAATTTTCGATCAGGGCAGTCGACAACCACACACAGAGAGACATACACATACATACGCATGTATATGCCCATAACCTATTTGTGTCATTTGCATCATGTCCCTTCATATTTGTTGGTGATACACAGCACTGTGATAGTTTAAACAATTTTTTGTGGATAACTCATCACACAAACTTTTGTATATTATAAGTGCATAGTACTACGAGCCCTCAATTTATTGCAATGAATATTTATTTCACCGAGTCCGTATGTATCATGGCACAACAATCTGCTCACGACACGTTCAGGTCTTGGAAAAAATCCGCTGGAGCACTGCTGGTCTTCATCCTTACAGCGAATAGTATATGCCTGTTTTCAATACTTAGGTGCAGAAGCCTCTTTAAATTAAGTATTGATGATAACAAAGTTAGTCTTTATTGTTCATAGCAGTGCGTCAAGACATCATGTCACAATTTTTGTGATACTTACTGAAATTTAAAAAAAAATGTTACTTACATTTACGGTGGTTCTTTCCTGAAATTATGGTGAACAGAATAACATTAAACCTACAGGAATCATTTATTAAGTTACAATACACTACCCCTCAAATTTTGAGAGTAAAATTGTATACATATTAAGCATTTAAAGTTTTTCTTCTAATTCGTCCTCTTGGGAGTATGGGCATGGTTGAAACTTTTATGAGCTCTAAAAGCTGTTTTTTGTCAATTTCAATCAGTTGTTATATATTTATTAGCAAGGCAATTCGATGTTTGATGACCCTAAAAAGGACCAGTGAACTAAACTCTTTCCTGACTGAAGTTTCCAGCAAACATGACTACCTGGATACCTTAGGATAATCTTCTCTGGCCTTCTGTTGTAG